GATCCCAGCTGTTTCGGCGGCTGCTATTCTGGGATGCGTCATTGGACCTTCCATAGCCGCAGTGTCAGCAGCGTTCTTACCAATGCTGTGCAACCTATGGGCTAAAGGCAAAGCCAAGCAGTCTTCCTGGTAAGCCCTGATTTTTGAGACCCCACGCAGAAAGTCCTGGGCGAAAACATCTTTCTGCATCACAAGCCTGGTGTAAGGCCGGTTGGGGTGCAGACGGTCCCGAGCGTTTTTGGAAACCCGTTGGGGAACCCGTTGATCACAACCTGGCAGTCCGAATCAAAAACAGCTTCGGCCCAAAGGACTGACGCAGCGTTTGCTGGGGCGGCAAACTCCGCAGCCACGCTAGTCTGAGGGTAGGAACCTCCCAGAGGGCCGAAAACACCACTTAGGACACGCCCTTGCTCACTGAGCCAGGCCAGTCCCCAGCCAAAAAGGGAGAGAGAGAGAGGTCTTTGACCACAGACCTTGAGCAAGAGTCATCACATACAGTCGCCCCAGCAGTTTCCTCACCCCTGGGTCAGGTGGAGCGAGGGTCTCCTCAGCGAAAGCCTCAAGAATTCAATGAAATTGCACTGCCTGCGTCGCTTCTTCTTGCGAGAGCGGTGGGGGAACACCCGGGGCTGGGTGCTGAAAGAGGCCAGTCTCGCACAGCAGTTCAAAGCATGGGGAGGGTCCATGGACTCCGCTCGCACTTTAGCCAGCAGGTCCACACCGATAGTTCTGACTCGCTCATTCTCACATGCAGGGCAGTGCCAGAGACGGTGAAGAACCGTGTCCCCAACCTGCCCGCATTGAGAGCGCACATCGTCAACAATAGAGCCTTTGGCCACAGCTCTGCGGAGAGGCACTGAGGCACGGCACGCAACTGCACAGACTCTCCCTTCTTCTGCTGGGGAGACATCTTTTTCGAAGCCAGGGCCCGAAACACGACATCAAAACATAAGACACAACAAACACCCCGCTTCCACCTCCAACCATTTAAGGACGGTGGCCTGTAAAGCCGTTCCAGGAGGCAGGAGGAGGTGAGTAAGAGAGGAGTAGATTTCCCATCCTCGTCCTCCATCGTAAAGAGGACAAATATATTCCAGCTTATACGCTTCAAGGATACATTCATAGCGCCCAAACTGCCACGAACCGACTTCCAAGATGTTGGTGGCGAGCGCCACGTAGCCCTCCATGCATCTGCTTCCAGGATAAGGCCCCAGCACGGGTCTGGAGTAGCCACAGTTCCTTGCTATATCTGAGAATCGGGGCAACACTAGAGGAGGTAGGTGGAGGTGGAGGTGGATGCCGAGGAGGAGGAGGAGCAGGAGGAGGAGGAGGAGGAGCACGAGGAGGGAGGAGGACCATGAGCATCAGGAGCAGGAGGACGACGACGGCTTCTCGCAGGAACGTCCCCGGCAGGGGGACGACGACGACGACGATGACGACGACTGGTCGACTCGCCCCCCGCCAAATTTGGGGCACGCCCGCAGGAGGCCGCCGTGCTCCTGAAGCACTGCGCCGCCGGCGGGGGCTCCGCCTACCCTCAGTTGTGGCCAGACCTGGACGAGTCGGTCCAGGACCGGCGGCGCCCTCAAAGGAAGGGGCGGGTTACCAGCCTCGAGCGTATCCCTATCCCTAAGATTGGCACGCCACAAGGCGATGACAGTCTTAGGGATTCGCCCAGCATAGGGAACGGGATATGTTCCAGGCTGGTAAGCAGGGCGACGAGGACGCCGGCGAGGACGACTACGGCGGCGACGGCGACGAAGACGAGGACAGCGACGGCGGCGCCGCCTCCGGCCGCCGCCGCCGCCTCCGGCGGCGACGAGGGCGCGGTCGAGCCTCGGGGCCTTCAGGAGGGCTGCGGAAACCTCCTCCAGGCACCTCGGGTGATCTCCAGAGGCCCCTCTGCGGGCGACGAGCGACGGCGTCGCAGATGTGCCGCTCTGGAACGATGTGCGCCGCAACTGGAGGCTCCCGTCGCCGCGGACGGGCGCGCGGCTCGGAAAACGGTTCGGATTTTCGTCGGGCGGCCCCCGCGGGCACCCCACGTCAAGACAGGGCAGGCTTGCTGGGGCAGCCCGGGGGCAGACACAGAGGGCGAGAAACAGAGGAGGGAGGAGGAGGAGGAGGAGGAGGAGGAGGAGGAGGAGGAGGGCCAGTGGAAACCCAAGACTCATCAACGATGTTGGAATAAACTCTCCCGCGAAGTTCCCTCTTCACAGGCCCAGATGAGGATCCATACCCACTGAAGGAAGTGCCCCGTTGGGAGACAACTGTTTAAAGATCCTGAAGCGTGCCAGCTCCATTCTCGGAACATCAACGCCACGAATTAACCTGACTGTTACGTGGCTTGCGATCCTGAATCATGCCAGAACTCCGTTCCTCGGACTTCACCACCGCGAATCAACGTAACTGTCGCGTCTGACAATCTTGAACCGCCCCAACACACCGTTTCTGGAACGCAAGCCATGCGATTCAGGGAAACTCTTGCAAAGTCTTACATTTTGAAGAGGAGCCGCCCTCAATCTTTGAAGCTCTCTCAATTTTGTTAGACGAATGTGCGCGGCGCTAAATGCGACATCCACATTCAGAAAACCGCCCGCCCTCAATCCGTGAAGCTCCTGCACATGTGTTAAACGAATGTGCGCGGCGCTAAGGCGAGAGCAACATTTTGAACATCTGCCCTCAATCTGCGAAATTGTTACAATGTTTAAGACGAGTGCGCGCGGCGCTAAGGCGAGAGCCACATTTGAAAACCACCCACCCTCCATCCGTGAAGCTGTTGCGAATTTCAAGCTTCAGGATCATAGATGGAACGGACGTATAAGGCGAAACGCCCGCTTCGCGCTTTTGACCAGCCTCGGGGCGCGACAGGGAGGAGTTATTTAGAAGAAAGGGGAATGGAGGATCAGGATGAGGAGGGGGAGGAGGAGGAGCAGGAGGGAGGACCGAGGATCCAGGTTTTGGCACTTTTGTACCCCTTCGGGGCAGGGTGAGATGGGTGGATCTCTGAGAAGGTACGACGCCTCTCCAAGGCCATGTTGTCTTCCAAGAAGCCTTCTTGAGAGCCTGGCTGCCACCAAGACAGACGAGGACAACCACCCTGACGACGACGGCTTCCCTGAGGCTTTGTTGGAAGCCTCCACAAAGGAACCGACCCTTTCTGAGAAGCCACCCGCTTTCTCAGAAGGCTTCGCCCTGCTCCCAGGAGCTCCTCAAGGGACATCTGCTCTCCGCGGTGACGCAAGATTCAACAGGCTCGCGCCGCTGCCCTGCTTGTTTTTTGCCCTCGGGGCCCCTGCTTGTTTTGTTTGCCCTCGAGGGCCCCTCCCTGCTTGTTTTTTGCCTTCGGGGGCCCCTGCTTGCCATTGTCCTCTCTGCTTGTTTCATGCCTTCGGGGTGCTCGGACAGCTGGTCAGGATGGTGTCCCCTAGGGGTCAATGGATGGGTTCATAGCGGACGTTCATCGGCGGGGGGGGGGGGCGAGAGCGGTGAGCAAACAAAAAAACAACGGGCCGTTGCGCCCCTGTTTAGGGCTTTGGCGCCAAGAAAGGGCCGGCACTCCTGGCAGCGATTTCCCGCGACGCCGCGGTTTCGCACGGCGCCGGGCGCCAAGGAGCTCCACATCCGCTGGCGCTTTTGCAGGCGCCCTCCCTAAGAAAAACCCGTCCTCCCCTCGGGGCAATCCGTTTGCGTTTTCAGCCCCATGTCGCCGACACGTTGTCTGGATGAGGTCGTATCGTTCAAGTCCTTCGACATCTGTGCTGGCTTGACTGACGAATGGAAGATGGCGGATTGTTGTGCGGCTATTCCCTCATCTTTTCGCCTCTTGCCTCTCCCGGGTGAAAACTTGACACAAACAATTTTTATGTCCCCAGTGCCGCGCCTAGTCAGGGGGGCCTCCCCAGCGTTGAACAGAAACGCCCGCCTGCCTTCTTCTGGATCATGCGCTCGGAGGGCAGATCAGCTCCGAGAGTTTGGCCGGGCCCTGCGGGAAAATACAATTTTCTCTTGTCCAACAACCCCAGACCTCCAGATCTCCCTGGACGTCTGAGTAGGCTTCCAGAGACATCAAGAGCCCGTCGGAAGCCTCTGCAGCGGCTTCTGGGGAGGTCTCCGTTTGTCCGCATGAGGCCTCCAGGAACATCAGGAGGCTTGCGGAGGCCAAAATGAAGGGAAATACAGATGAAACAATTCTAGCCTTCTCCACCTCCGCCCCACCTTCCCAGACATCTTCGCGTCGTGGAACAGTCGCGACGGCAGGTGCTTGACCGTGCTCTGCTTCCTGGGGGATCTCGGCGGACCCCGGGGCTGTCAAAGGTCGGCTCGGGAGGGAGGGCTGGCCACGGGGATGGCGTCAAGAGCTCCACGGATCCACGTGTCGAGCGAATCATGCGTCGGATGTCTGGGTCTTCCCCATCTCCTTTGCATCTCTACCAACAAAGTTATGAAGACAAAAGAAACATAAAACCAACAAGTAACAGCAGCAAGCATTTTCTGTTCAACAAAACATCCCCTCAGCATCTCCACCTGCTCCCACCCCTCCACCTTCGCGGTTCCCCCCCCACTCCATCCCAGAACAGAGGCCGTTGGACACGGCGATCCTCCTCCACCTTCCCGACGGCCGGAAGCGGCGATGCTCCTCCACCAGTCTGGATCCTTGGAGTGTTGGACTCCTTCCCCAGAACCAGCTTTTTGTTGCCCCGACCAGTTTGTTGAACTCGTCGAGAGCGCGGCCCGAACCTTCCGCCGGAACGACGCACGGGGGGGTCCGTGTCCTCCCCTCCAAAGTCGCCCCCCATGGTCGTCCACAGGTGCGATCTGGTCAGAACCTCGTCTGCGTTGCGACATGGGCGCCTCCTCCTCCTCCTCCTCCTCCTCCTCCTCCTCCTCCTCCCGAACAACGTGTAAAAGATTTGCAAAAGATTTGATCCCAGTCCTGCCCGTCCAGTGGCTCCGCGCGCCTACGTTGGCCCCCTGGAGTGGGGGCCTGCGCGGATTCCAGCGCCCCCGTGCGGCGCAACGCGGCAAGCGCCGCGGCCGCCATCGCCGACTTCGTCGCGAGCTCCCTGGAGGAGCTCATGAAGGAGCCGAGGGACGATTGTCAGTCGGGCTCGGACATGTGAATGATAAGATTAAGTTAATCTTATCATTCGCATGTCCGAGCCCGACTCGTAAACGTGCCGCAGGGGATTCGTCTGCGAGGCCCTCGGACTGGGATCGAGGGCGCCACCTGCCCGGGGAGCGATCGGCGGTCGGCGAGGGGAGCCCCGGATCGGAACCGGGACCTTGAGAAGTTCGGGGGTGGACAGAACCCCCAACAGTGACACGTCGATTAGTGAATTGTCCGTTTTCGGTTCTCGAGAGGGCGCCGTGGCCGTCATTTTCCAGGCTTGCGCCCGCCAGGTTTGGGCCTCAGGTCGTTTTCACTAAACCACGTTTTGCTAAAGGGGGGTCTGTCCATCCCCGGTTAACAAGTATAAAGAAGAAAGAACTTAATACACATAACCATAAGAATCACAAAACTAACAACTGGCATACACGCAGACTTTACGAGGTCCGCGCGGATTTCTCGGACTTGCGCTGGATTCCCCTACATCAGGGAGGGAGTCCAGCGACGATCCAAGGATCCAAGACATCCGCGCGGTCGTCCGTTTATGCAGCTCGTCTTAGTAGACAAGCGTATTTATATTCCGTGGACAACGCGCACGCGCTGCACGCGTTGAAGAACGTAGCACGGTAATGAATCAGCGTCGCACACGAGGGCTAAGGCAGCACGGCAATGCAGCAGACGTGAGAAGAGTGGAAAAGATGAAGCATGGCATGTCGTGATTGCTGGTGTTGTTGATGCTGTTGTTGCTGTTGCTGTTGCTGTTGTTGTTGTCGTTGATATTGTTGCTGTTGTTAGTGATGCCGTTGTTTTTTGTTGTTGGTGGTGGTGGTGTTGATGTTGCTGCTGTTGTTGTCGTTGATGTTGTTGTCGTTGATTCCCCTGCCTGGTAACCATTGTACCTTTCAATTAGAGTGTTGATCCAGGGGCTCGCACCTTTTTTTGAAGGGAAAGCTGGGTATTATCAAACTGCGTTGTTGGCCGTCGGATTACAACAACGGCTCCCGCCTGATATTTCTTCATAGTTTACTCCAGAATCGCGCTCTCGCGCAGGAGTTCCTCACATTTGTTTCAGGAATCGCGCTCTCGCGTGGGACTTCCTAGCAAGTTGTTCACACGCCGCGCCTTCGACACTCAGGAATCACGTTCTCGCTTCAGCCTTCCTCGTCGGTTATTCATGAATCGCGCTATCGTTCGAGCTTTCCTCGCGAACCATGCAGGGTTCACGCTCCAGCAACCCGCCTTCTCGACCTGGCCGCCTGGGCCCGCCTTCCCGACCTGCCCGCTAGGGCCTGCCCGCCCGGTCTGCCCATCTAGTTATACCACGTGTTTTCTGCTCCTAGCTCCTGCTGATTTCTCTCGCGCTGCATCCTTCTCCCTCCTACTTCCATCCGTCCCTCTCTTCCCCTGTTTTACGGGTTGCACTAAATGCACGTGGCAGGTAAGGAAGACAGACCCCCAAGGGGGCATGATCGAAGACGAAGAAGGCGGGTACCTAGGGTTTGGGATATACGTGTCGAGTGGCACGCAAGCGTATAGCAGCGATCAGCCTTCAAACTGTTGTTTTGTCGTTGATGCTGCTGCTGTTGTTGCTGCTGTAGCAGGGGCAGCTGATTCCTGACTCCTTCCCTCCCTGGGATCGGGGCCCGATCCCCAGGAAGGAAGGAGTCAGGAAGATCCCAGGGAAGGCAGCTAATTCCTGACTCCTTCCTTCCCTGGGCAGGGCCAGTGCCCGGGGCACGGGCCCTGCACGGGCCCTGCCCTGAGTGCCCTCTCGGGCCCTCGGCGGATCCGCAGGCGGGCACGGGCCCGCCGGCGGACGTTGGCAGGGCGGCGATCGGGCGCGGGCCCCGGCCGCGGGCCCGGAGGTCGTGCGGGCACGGGCGTGCGGGCGTCCGGGCGGAGCCAGCTGCAACCTCAGCGAGCTTCCTCTCGTTTGTTGCCCCCCCCCATGTCAGGATTGACGTGGGTGAAGAGGAGGAGGAGGAGGAGGAGGAGGAGGAGGAGGAGGAGGAGGAGGAGGAGGAGGCTCACGCTCCGCGCTCTGATCGGGCACGGGCTGCCGAAGCCCAGTGCGCCCGAGGGAGTGAGAGCGGCGACTTGAGACAAGTCGTAGCAAGCATGGCCGCCGAGGCGACCTGTCTGCTGGCGAAGTCAATGGTGTGAGCTCTCGACCCCGTCCCCCCAGGAGCTGAGGAGCCCTCAAACCCCTCCTCATCCCCTCCGTCGAAGTTCGGCTGAATTCAAAAGTATTTGGCTCAAGTCGGTGGCTCGTGAGCCAGAGTTGGTTCTTGAACCCTGTTCTGAACGTCTCCAAACGTCTTTGCTGGTTGACCCGCGCATCCGCTCGAAGGAGGTGTTGTCCGTGCTTGGCCTTGCCACCTACGTGGTTTAGTACGTGGACCAACACGATGAGGCATCGACGACGATGCGATTTTGGTATCGCGGTCGGCGCAATCACCCAAACAGCGTTGGAGGCCGCCAAAGGACACAGGGTGGCCCTGTGCACGTTGCGGTCGAGTTGGTCAAAATTATCCCGGCAAAGCAACCTAACAGCGATGTGTAAGAGCATATCTGGAAGCATTTCCCTTAAGATTCAGATGAGAATCCAGTTGTAGAATTCTGCTGTTCTCGCAGTCGTAGTCGCATTCGCGATGACAGTCGCAGTGGCAACGGCAGTCGCAGTCACAGCCTCAGCCTCAGCCTGCCTCAGCCTCAGCCTCAGCCTGCCTCAGCCTCAGCCTGCCTCAGCCTCAGCCTCAGCCTCAGCCTCAGTCTGCCTTCAGCCTCGGCCTCAGCCTCAGCCTGCCTCAGCCTCAGCCTGCATCAGCCTCAGCCTCAGCCTCAGCCTGCCTCAGCATCAGCCTGCCTCAGCCTCAGCCTGCCTCTGCCTCAGCCTCAGCCTGCTCAGCCTCAGCCTCAGTCTGCCTCAGCCTCTGCCTCAGCCTCGCCTCAGCCTGCCTCAGCCTCAGCCTGCAGCCTCAGCCTCAGCCTCAGCCTGCCTCAGCATCAGCCTGCCTCAGCCTCAGCCTCAGCCTGCCTCAGCCTCAGCCTCAGCCTGCTTCACCCTCAGCCTCAATCTGCCTTCAGCCTCAGCCTCAGCCTGCCTCAGCCTCAGCCTGCCTCAGCCTGCCTTCAGCCTGCCTCAGCCTCAGCCTCAGCCTGCTTCAGCCTCAGCCTCAGTCTGCCTTCAGCCTCAGCCTCAGCCTCAGCCTGCCTCAGCCTCAGCCTGCCTCAGCCTCAGCATCAGCCTCAGCCTGCCTCAGCCTGCTTCAGCCTCGGCCTCAGCATTCAAAATGTGGCCCGGGAATGGAGTTCTGGGAACTCGAAGAACACGAAGTGGCCTACAGTTGGCTCCGGGCATTCAAAATCATGCCCAGGAGTGGAGTTCTGGGAACTTGAAGACCACGAAGTGGCCTACAGTTGGCTCCGGGCATTCAAAAAAATGCCCAGGAATGGAGTTCTGGGAATTCGAAGAACACGAAGTGGCCTACAGTTGGCTCCGGGCATTCAAAATCATGCCCAGGAATGGAGTTCTGGGAACTCGAAGGCCACGAAGTGCGTTGTTGTTGGCTAAAAAAGGAGTCCCCGGATTCCCGGGGCACCCGTCCGGCATCTGCCCAGACCCCCCTAGCAGCTGGGGAGTCATGATGCTCTTTTTTGACCCTACTAGAAACCTATCAGTCTTCGCTGTTAGGTAATGTACGGAGGAAGTGGCGTTGCCCCCCCTTCGACGTTCTTCCGCACGAGAGTCGAAACGCTCCGGCGAGGGAACTGGGAGGACGGCCGAGAGGGGCGCAGATCGAGGAGGCGCACCGCGTAGGCCTGCGCAGGAGCTGACGCTCTCTCCGCCACCACGGACTCCAACTTCTACTACACATCCTGGCAGGGTGTGGGCGTGAGCGGCACTTCGTGGCTCCGCGGGCAGCACCCGCGCTGCCGAGCGCCTCCAGAGGGCGATCGTTCGCCTCCCTTACCTCCTCGTCGTCCTCCTCCTCGCCCTCGCCCCCCCCTGGCGTGAGAGCAGCGCCGCGTCCTGGCCGGGCGGAGGAGCGGCCCCGCGGCGCCGCGGGCAATGCCCCCCCCCGCCGCGCGCCCGGAGAGGGCGAGGGAGGGGCTCGCGTGGAGTCGAGTCCGTGTGCCCTGCTTGCCTCCGCGGTCCAGGGGCGCACGCGGGCCGCGGGTCCCCGGTGGGGTCGGTGCCGCCCGCCCGCCGCCGGCGTCGGTCGTCCTCGCGGGGGCTGGCGCCCAGGGGCCGCTCCCTCTCTGCTGCGTGCCTCCTTTTGCGCCGCTCGCGCTGCTCCCCTCCCCTTCTCCTCGCCCCCCCGGCGCCGGCTTCGTCCCGTGGTTTTGGGTGTCGGTCCCTTCCCTCTCTCCCCCTCCTGCTTCCCCTGGATCCTCCCATTGGGGGTCCCGAGAGGCACAGGCTGCGGTGTCCCCGGCAGCTGTTGCTGCTGAGAGGCGTGGTGCCTCGTGCACGGCAGGGGTTGCAGCCGTACTCTGCTGCGTGCTCGTCTCGGTCGCGACGGAGGCTTTCTGAGATGCCGCTCTGCGTGCGTCGGCAGAGGCTGGGTGCCGGCCGGTGGCGCCAGTCCTCTGCGTCGTCTCCTTTCCCGCCTCCTTCGCCCCCCCTTCGGGTGCCCCTCCGTGGCCCTCGTTCTTCAAGGGGCCCAAGGACACACAAATGAGTACACACAAATAACGAGGTTCCCCATAGTTTCCCATATTTTCTGGGATTTTGTCTTCCCCCCACTTCCCATATTTTCCCATATTTTCTGGGGAGTCGACGATTAATTGTGTCTGTGTGCTTCTTTCCCTCCTGAGTTCTTTGTGGTTATAGGTGTGCTGTAAGCGTGCGTGTAACGGGCGTTCCGGCCGGGCGGGCTCCTGTCACGCAGCATTTTTGTCAGCCCGTAGGATCTGCCATGAGAATGTATCATTCGGTCTTTGATTCTCGTTCTGGCCGCTCCCTCCTTT